GATATGACATTTGTTTAAAAAAAAAAATGGGATCACACCTGAGACCTTCATGCCCAAATTTGACCAATTAAGGGCTGCTATACGATGGATCCTTGAGGTTTAATGTTTTTATGTTTGGTTTTTAATGTTATAAACCCCAAGAACTATTCTAAGTATTTTTTTATAATTTCTTACATTTTAGAAAGTCAAAGTAGTTTAGTTTGAATCGGTGTGAAATGCACAACACATTTTAGTGCAAAAAGAGATCAGCGAGCAGGAGTATGTATGTAGTGTGCATTGTGCGAGTAATAATGCTGTAATCATGGTTAGCAGTAGTATGTCACGTGTGATGTGTGTCTCTGCTGCTGCAGGCGTCTTGTCCAGCTCAGTGGAACAGAAGATCTATGTTGAACTCAATGAAACGGTTCCATGTGTCCGACTTCTGAACGCCACGCATCAGATCGGCTGCCAGTGTGAGTCATTCATTTACCTGCGGTGCATTTCAAACTCTGTGTTAGGATCGCTGTGATGTACGGCCTGATTGTTTTATTCGTTTCTCAGCGTCTATATCAGGAGATACAGGAGTCCTCCATGTGCTGGAGACCGAATCAGACCTGGACTGGATCCTCAGCTCAGGACCGCATCCTCCGTACATGGTGATCATGGAGACGGCCTTCTTCAACAGGTGCTGTAACACCTGTCTGTGTGTGTGTGTGTGTGTCTCTCTCTGTGTGTCTGAGCTCATGTGTTTCTCCTGCAGGTCGGTCATGATGAGGATGAAGAACTCGTCCAGAGTGGCTGGAGTCGCTGTGATCATCTCAAAAACAGGCCTTGCTGATAATTTCTCACCTCACACAACCTGCCCCAACCAGAACACAGGTGTGTGTGTGTGTGTGTGTGTGACAGTGAGTGTGTGTGTGTGACAGTGAGTGTGTGTGTGTGTGTGTGAGTGAGTGAGTGAGAGAGTGTGTGTGTGTGTGTGTGTGTGTGTGTGTGTGAGACTGAGTGTGTGTGTGTTCCATTTTATTCCATTTTAAAATACATTTTAAATAAATGTTTTAATCACTTGAGGATCCTTGAAAATGTTGCCAGTCAGGATCATAAAAAGATTTCCGTGATCGTTTATTCAGTTCACACAGTGCGATTCATGTTACAGAAAGAGATTTACAGCTTTAAAAGCATAAAATATGTTAAAGATTTGCTGATTTGTGTGGATTCTGTTGGGATAGAAATAGATGAATACATTGAAATATAAATTTATTGTATATAATAATAATTATTAATTAATTAATTATTATATGAAATATAATTATTATATAATTATTATTATATTGAATATAATTATTAAAATTAATTTGTCATTTAGCATCTCATGTAAATATATCTTGATTTAGGAGTGTTTATATAAATGTTGCATATTATTTTACACAACAAAACGTGATTTTGTTTTGTTTGTTTAAAACAGCGTTGACCAGTGTGCTGTACAATCATGCATGAAATAAAATTAGAAATAAAATGTTCTTGACATTCTTAAATCAATAAACATATTTACAAGAGATGCTGAATGACATAAGATAACAAAACCTGTTTTCTGAGAAATGTATGAAAATTAATTGAGGTTTATGCTTAAAACGAGAAAAAATAAGAAATAAATAAGAAAAATAATCTTGTTTTCTCTTTGAAATGCGTTTATTCAGCCCTTTGGCAGATATTTTTGTTGTTTTTTAAGCACAAACACTTCATTTTGATAAGTTTGTAAGAAAACAAAACTTCTTATCTTATGTGATTTTTGCATCTTTGCAAATGATTGTCTTGATGTAAGAATATTTAGATATTTGCACTGGAAAACAAAACAAAAACACTTAGTGAGGAAATCTCATTTTACAGTGTTTTATGATGAACTTGTGGAGAAAAGAACGTGATGAAATAGAAATAAAATGGGGAAAACTGAAGAAATGCTGAGCAGTTACAACACTTTCCCACATACGTGTGAAGCTCAGTGTGTGTGATTGTGTTTTCTCGTGTTTCAGGTGTGTATTCTGCGAGTTACGGCTCTGATCTAGCGAACTGTAACGTGACCGCGTGGAATCCTCTGGGGAACGGACTGTCCTATGAAGACTTCGCTTTCCCTGTGTTTGCTCTGAAAGACGAGAATCAGACTCGGGTCATCCGTAAGGTGAGTGTCTCTCTCTCAGGTGTGTGCATGTGTTCATCACAGCGCTGTATGACACGTGTGTGTGTGTGTGTGTGTGCTTGCAGTGTTATGAGGATCATAATCTGCGTGTGAACGGAAGCGCTCCTCAGTATCCGCTGTGTGCAATGCAGCTCTTCTCACACATGCATGCCGCGACCGACACCGTGACATGCATGAGACGCACAGACCTGCAGAACCGATTCAGTATCAACCCAGGTACACACACACACACACACTTACACTGTATTCACAGAAATTTTATAGATGTTAAAAGCACATATTATGACTTTACCTTTCCTTTAGCGTGTAATATAGCTGTTTGTGCATTTAAGCAATCTGCAGAAAACACTTGCCTGAAATGCCTCGTTTATAGTCCTGCCATTATTTCCATAATTTTGCGACATCAAAAAGGAACTAAAACAAGAGTGTTTCAGCTGAAAAGAGGGCTGAACCAATGTACCATTTGAGAAAATTTTTTTTTTTTGAACTGTAGATCTCCCGCACCACCACCGAAGTGGGTCTTCGTTAGAGGAATAGAAGGTGCGGACGGGATCGCATGTTGTAGTGAATGACGTGATTGACATTTGCTCGCCTACATGCCTGTATTGAATATGATTACGCATCGCTCCAGTAGAGTTATTGTAAGACAATTTGACATTACACAGTTTACACAAACCTTTTCAGTTTCCTTCTAATTCAAAATAATCCCACACCTTCTCGTTTTTCGCATTGTCATTTTTGAACTCGCCGCAACTGACGAAGAAAACGCATGTGAGGTCTGAGGTAAAAATTTAGTTTCCGCCTAGATAAACTTTTAAAAATAATGTATTATTTTTCAAACGTTTTATTTGAACTTATTTAAAATGTTTTAAATGCAATGTTAAAATGACGGTAATTTGAATGATAAAATTATGTTTTTTTGTCGTGTAATCGACTATTGTTTTCAGTGTCGACTAGTAGGAGCTGTACCGTTTAGTCGACTAGACCCGCGCATCCCTAATATATATACTTTTTTAATCGTTTAAATTTTAAAACTGATTAAAAAGAGCAGGAACCTTTAAGAACATTCAGCATTATTTTATTTGATTAATTATAATTATTGTATTTACTCATTTTAATCTATGCACACTCCTAATTTCTGTAAATTAAAAACATTCTGTAAATAAAATTGCCATTATAGCAGACCCACCAGAGGAAATCTGTTCACCTACACATGTAGTTTTGACACTGTTTATGAGCATCTGTTAAAGCATACTTATTTTCCATGTGTCTCGCCTCCTGTCAGAAGTCCTGTGTGACCCGCTGAGTGATTTTAACGTCTGGACATCCACTCGGCCCCTCAACAACAGCGCCAAGGGCCACGCAGCCAACGAGAGCGTCGTCATCGCAGCCACACGGGTGAGGAATAGACTCGAGATGTTTGTTCAAGACTAACATTTGTGCTCATGTTCTGCTAGAGGTTTCCAGCTGTGAACCGAACACTCTTCTTTTGTGTCTCAGCTCGACGGCAGGTCGTTTTTCTGGGAGCAGGCGCCGTCGGCCGAAGGAACCGTGTCTGGAATCGTCACCCTATTGGCCACCATTCAAGCCCTCCATCCTGTCACTCAGGAAGCTCCGCCCCCTCACAATATCTTCTTCAGCTTCTTCCAAGGGGTCAGCATCATCATTTACACATTATTCTTCAATCATTATTAGATCCGACTGCGAGAAGTGAAGACATTTTGATACAAAACTGGATTTAAAATGATGCGAATATTAACATTTGTAACCACTCGCTGTTACACATGTAACATAACGAGGTCATGTGACCTGTTTGTTTATCACTGTATACTGTGTACTGCTGCATGTAGTATATACTGTGCAGTATGCAGTACACTAGTATGCACTACAGCGGAGATGCTGTATGAGTAGAAGTATGCAGTAAGCATCTGTTCGTGTATTTTATTACAGTTTTATATATTTTTACAAGCTCTCCTTCTCTCTCATAGGAAGCCTTTGACTACATTGGCAGCTCAAAAATGGTGTATGACATGGAAAGAAACGATTTTGTTATTGACTTGAACAATGTGCACTCCATGCTGGAAATTGGGCAGGTACGAACACATCCATGTTTATTTATATTCTTTTATTATAATATTTATTTTTATTATTATTATGGTTATTTATATTCAATTATTAATATTATTATTATTATTTCATTTAAAAAAGCATGTAACAAAATCAAATAACTGATTTGATCGTTGATTTTTATTATTGTTATTAGTTTCTTTTAATATTTGTATTAATAATGATAATATTAATATTACTGTTGTTCTGGTGGTTCAATTTATTTATGTTCTATTATTATTATTATTATTTTCTTTTATTATTGCTAATAATAACAATAACAATGTTTTTATTTATATATTATTTATATTATGTTGGTAGTATTATTTTTTATTTTTTTTTATTATGATTATTTATATTCTATTATTAACAATATTATTATGATGTTTTTATTATGTTTATATTTATAACCAGGGGTGCACATAAGTGGTCCGCAGGTCCGCATGCGCGACCAAAATAAGAAATGCACTGTAAATTAGTTCAGAGCAGCGCGTTTGCATACTGAGATTAGGCTTGCCGTGATAGACGGTGCTGACGGTTATACCGGTGTTAAGCCGCAACACCGGTTACGTCACTTGCCCACCGCGTCACCGACCCCCACCAA